GCGGCTTATGGGGGGGGCAACGTCGCTCTTTTTGCCTACCTTTCAGGCGGCTATCTAGGGGGGGGGGGCAAAACCCCATTGCCCCCCCCCCTTCCCCTCTCTGTATCCGCGCCTGGGTCATGGAAGACCGGCACGGATGGCCAAAACTCTAGACGCGTTTTGAGCTCCAGAGTCGCTAAACAGGACTCGAACCCAGCGTGTGACAGCACCAATGGATCCCTCGTTCGAAGAACAATCCATGAGTGTGTGTGTGTATAGTATGTATGTATGTATGGGGCGGCAGTTACTACACGATCGGTTTGAGCCCCGTTTAGCGACTCTAGAGCTCAAAACAAGTCCGGGATATTGACCGCCTCCACCGGTTTTCTGGCCTACTGTGCATCGGAGCAGCGCATGCCGCGTGATGGTTGTGATGACGGTGGCGATGTCTGGTCGTCGCTGCTCGCCGGGTTATCCACCGATGAACCCGGGCCATCCACAGGCCAGCCCGCCATGTGCGCGGCTAGTGGTCCTGCTCGCCTATCAGCCACTATCGTGGTGCCGCCACTGCTGGCGGCTCGCGCTGGGACGCTGCGACGCCGCGACTTCACACTAAATGTTATGTTCAGTTTTATACGAGAGGTCACAGTATGTTTTGTGCAAATGAAATTTTCGTACGAATTTTCATACGAAAAACTGTACATTTCCCCCTCAGCCGATTCGTTTCAAAATGGCGAACTTGGGGCAACCCTGCGCTTCTTTGGCACATCTACGACTCTACATGGGACTGCCACCCATTCTTCTCCAAATTTATACATGCGTGCGCGCGTATAACGAAGCGGGTTTTTGTCTCAGGAAAGAAAACAGTGGAGGCACTCAGCATTAGCATCGGCATTGTCGATGTGCAGCCCAGCAAGGGCCTAACTGCCCGGCGGGCTCGCTCTCGTCGTCCTGTCTCTCTCGCACTCCTACGGAGCACCCCATGAGTGCGAGGAGGGCACAACGATGAATGACAGTCACTTCTGACTCAGACTACTATGGTGCAAGTTGCGTGGCTCTAGCCTCCAGGAGATGCCATCGCAGACACTGGAGGAAATGCCGATGCCCACCAGGAAAAACAGAGGAGAGGGGGGTCGGGGGTCGTCACTTGGGAATAATTGTATGCGTGTGATTGGGTTATTGACTACCGTGTGGCTGTGCGACGCGACTTGAACGTGGGGCAGACCTTCCTGTCGAAATCCATTAAAAACACAGAAACGAGAAAAGAGACCATCCATTGTTACGGTTCGTCACGTTTAAAATTCAGCCGAATAGGTGACAAAGTTGATCGTTTAATCAAATTAATGTACACAACTAATGCATTTGCGTAGTTGATACGTTGAGTTAAAATTTTACCTAATTTGAAATTAATCTATTTTGGACCTCCTTCAGGAAAAACAAACCAGGGAGAGTGGCGTTACGACGGTTTTATGTTTGGCTTCCCTCGCGATCCTCGACGCCGCGAAGCCGAGCGCGAAGCCATGCAGTGTCGCACAAGGCACCTTTCGGGCTGCATTGTCCCGCTGGCGAAACTCGATTTGGATCTAGGAGAAGCAACGCGTTGCGGGAGATGTAACAGAGAGAGAGAGAGAGAGAGAGAGAGAGAGAGAGAGAGAGAGAGAGAGAGAGAGGAGATACAGAGAGAGATACACACCCACCACCACACACACTCACTCACACACACTCACACACACACACACTCTCACACACTAACCACGCAGCAACCACCTGTTTTACATGCAGCGTCTGCAGTCGAACCGCCCTGTTGCACGCAGAGGGTACAGTACACCAGGAGTAAACGGGGTCCAAGTCATTTGTCTCGAAATAAATACATAGTCAAGGTCGAGGCCCACGAGGGGAAACGGGACGAGCTGTATGGTAAGCCGCTGGAGAAACGCGGTGAAAAAAAAAATGTTGTCACTCCAGACGAAAAAAACAAAACGAAAAAAGGATAGCAGCATGCGGGAGCGAGGTGATAGATAGTCGCGTAAGATTATACGACTGAGTGGGAGGGGCGGCGGCCGGCGTCAGTTTCATCGTAAGACTAGTGCTCCGTACGCCGTACGGCCTATGTCATAGAGAGAGAGAGAGAGAGAGAGAGAGAGAGAGAGAGAGAGAGAGAGAAGAAGAAGAAGAAGAAGAAGAAGAAGAAGAAGAAGAAGAAGGTCTAGATGCATCCCGCAAACCGCGCCGAAAGGGTGCGCGACGACAACCGTGGAGGGGGAAAGGGGGAAAGGGGGGGAGGAGACGTCGTGGAGGGGGAGGCCCCTCACTGACTGCCCAGTTAGGGGAGTGATGAAGGTGCCGGCAAGGTGCCGGGAATGGGTCCGCCTGTCAAAACACGACACGGCCGCCGACAGCGCCTGCACTGAAAAGTAAATGGAAGGACGGTGCGCCCCAGTGTAAGCTTAGGTGGAGAAAAAGTCTCGCCAAATTGTGGTCAGGACTGAAAATCTCACCCGAATTTGATCGGACCAAAAAGTTTGACCACAACAAATGCTCAGACATTTTTGTGTTGACTGGGTTCACACAAAAATGGGGTCGACACAAAACTGTCTGACCATTTTGTGGTCAGACATTTTGGTGTGTTCAATTTTTGGTCAGGTTTTGTCAGGTCTGACCACAGTGTGGCAATTGTTCGACCATCCAGGGGTGATTGGCCTGAGCAAATTTTGCCGAGACTTCCAGGTCTGACCCAGACTTGGCTCGACCTTATGTCTCGCCTCTGGAGGGGCGAGAAATCTGACCTCCGGATTTTCAGTAGCGTGTAGGGCATGCGTAGGAGCAGCCACGCGTCATGATTGGTTTCTCTAGCATTGTGATGCCGGTCGCACGTCCTTCCAGGAACCCCGATGATAACTCGATTAGGTTTATTGGAAACAAAGTGTCAATCAGAACAGTTCCCGCTGCTGTGGTTATTGCTGCTTCCCTCCCTTACCCCTCCCCCCTCTCTTTTACCGAGCACCCCCTTCCCTTACATGCCCTACGGGAGGAACGGATAACCAAATTTCCATTTTTAAGTTGTCCTTTGCTTTGCCTTGTAAAGGAGGTGACCTGGGAAAAGGGAGACTGGGCTCTATATGAGTACTTTCATTTGGCATGATAATCAAACGCCGACAGTGCCACCGCCAAGACACACGCGCAAAAGACACACTAGTGGTCTCCGGGCAGACTTTCGACTTGATACGGCTTCGACCCCACATGATAGAGACCGGTCTCATGATACGACGGGGAATTTGAATTTCGTAGAAGATACGCGTAAGCAATGACCAATCGACAGTACACATTTTCTTCACTGTTATGTTTAAAAATAAGCAAGGGTCTAAACACTGTCATAAGAACACAATACATTATGTTTTATAGAACACTCTGGATAAATTATTGACCTGAACTTTCTCGAGACTTTTTTTTTTCTACCAGTGCATACTAAAGATTTTAGTACAAATTTTGAACGGTGTTACAGTGTCCTGTGCAGAAGAACTTTTCGAGCAAATTTGTACGCGATTTTGCAATCAGAGGTGCAGTTCATCGTGCGAATACTGTACAAAAATTTTATCTGCACAAAAAAGAAACCGGCAAAGTTCCGTAACGCTGCACACACCGTACCATCAGTGCCCCTCGAGCAAAGGGAGGCACGCTCTTTGAGGTGAAGCCCTGCCAGAGGCTAGAAAGGACTAGGCCACTGGACAGTCCGGTCACGCGTCCGCCGTGAATGGTCGCTTCACGCAGCCACTTTACGTTCGGCGTGTCATGCACACTGTACACCTGTCAAGCGCCGCCACACGCCGCGGCCAGCGCGTAGCGAGCGGCCCCGTTGACGCACCTGGCGGCGTCTGGCGGCCGCGGCCCTGCAGACTCATTCCGAGAGTCGTAGCTCTGTCTCTCTCGCACTCTTGGGGCGTCTCGTATAGGTGTGAGAGAGACAGAGCGACTCTCGGACTGCTGCGAAAGCGACGGCCAAGGGCCCCGATTATCTACCCTAGGAGAAGATGACCGAGGGGTCGGCAACTCTTATATTACTTCGTACGCGGTGGCTATATTACCCGCATATTACCTGTATATTACCATATATTACTTGCATATTACCACAATTTTGCCTCCATAATACCCCTATATTACTATATACTACTTTATATTCGTTTATATTACACATATATTACCTATATTACTGGTAATATACGTATACTCCCTCGTACACGGCCAAGGGAAGTTGCCGACCCCTCGAAGATGACACTTCACGGGAAGCGAATGGCGGGAAAGAAAGGTTTCGCAAGTTTTGTAAACGCTGTTGTAAGTCTGTTGTCACTTTATAAAAAGACTGTGGATGCCATTTTCATCCCTTGAAAAATCACAAGTTGACGGAATTTGCGTCAAAGCTCGTACACTTATCTGCCATTTCCATTGACAATATGTCATCGAGGGGTATTGCATAACCGTGGTATGGAAAGTATAGCCTTCATATTGTCATCAAGTTACGTCCAAAATTCTGACAGCCCACTCTCAAGCCCCCGAGCTCGACGCCGTGCTCGAGATCCCATGGCGAAAACGATTCCTATCGTTTTCCTAGGTAGCCACCCAGATAAAGACACTTGCGACTTTCCCAGGAATGGCCTGAGAAAATCTAAGAAAACCAGGAGCCTTTTTTGCCGTGCTCGAAAACCAGGGACCGTTATTGACGTGCTCGAAAACCACTGGTAGAAAGAAGTACGGAACGTGTCTGGTCAATTTTTTACCTGGACCGTCCGTACCTTATGCCAGCCACGGAAGTTCTGTACATGTTTTCCGTACCAGTTTACACGAGATCCTTATGGAGACCACAGAGAACCAGTACGGAAGGTCCGTACCTTTCCCGTACCCCATAAACCGTACCAAACCACGTTTTTTTTTGCTGTGACCAGGAACCGTTTTTGACGTGCATGTAAGCCAAGAACCGTTTTTGATGTGCTCGAAAACCAGGAACCGTTTCCGGCGTTTTGCCTTACCTTCCCTCCAGCTGTCGTCGTCCAGACTGCTCTCCTTGAAGGACTGCACGCCGCGGCTCGTCCGCGACGCCCTGCCTTTCCTGGGCATTGTGTGTCTCCACGGCCGCGCGTCCTCGAGGGGCTCGCGTGCTTCTTCGGGTGACGGCCAACGTCCACCACACTCGGGGCCCCGGTCTCCAGGCTGCGGTCACCGTCCACCACACCCGAGGCACCAGCCTCCAGGCTCCCCGCGCCTGCCTCCAGCCACCGCGGAGCCATGCTGATGGTGACCCACCACACTGTCAACACTGCACTTGATGACCCACCCCACTGTCGACACTGCACTGCATTTGATGACCCACCACACTGTCAAATATTGCACTGCAGTTGATGATCCACCCCACTGTCAACACTCCACTGGATGACCCACCCCACTGTCAACATTGCACTTCATGACCCACCACACTGTCAAATACTGCACTGCACTTGATGATCCACCCCACTGTCAACACTGCACTCGCTCACCCACCCCACTGCCAAATACTGCACTGCACTTGATGATCCACCACACTGTCAACATTGCACTTGATGACCCACCCCACTGTCAAATATCGCACTGCACTTGATGATCCACCACACTGTCAACACTGCACTTGATGATCCACCACTCTGTCAATACTGCACTTGGTGACCCACCACACTGTCAACACTGCACTTGGAGGCGCTGGAGTCGTGGCCGCGGTCCGCGGGCCGGGCGTCGTGGTCTTGCCGCATGTCGCGCCTGGCAGCGCGCGGCGCACGGCGGACGGGCCAACAGGCGAACAGCTGATCGGACGGGACGCCTCGGAGGCGCGTCGTCGCGGTGCGTGTTCTCCCCCCGCCGGGCCGTCGGCTACTGCACGCTACGCTACGCCCGCTCTCGTACGCCGGGGGGAGCGGGGGCGTGGCGGGGCGCGGCGGGGTGTGGTGAGGCGGGCGGGGCGCGGCGGGGCGCAAGGGTCCAGAAAGATAGCGACTGCAGCATCGCTGCTGCAGCCCGAGGAGCGGCGTGGTGGGGGAAAGGAAGGGAAGGGTTGGCGGCGCGCCCTGCAAGCCTGCAGGCTGATTCCGAGAGTCGTTTTTCGTCGCTCTGTCTCTCTCGCACCTACACGGCACGCCCCACGAGTGCGAGAGAGACAGAGCAACGGGACTTCCCTCTGGGAATCGGCCTGGGAGTGACGCGGTGCTTTCGGGTGGCGCTAAGCCGTCGTCTTCATCACAAACATGACCCCAGCAGACTGATCCCGAGAGTCGTTTTCGTTGCTCTGTCCCTCTCGCACCTACACGGCACGCCCCATGAGTGCGAGAGCGACAGAGCGACGAAAAGGACTCTCGGAAACGGTCTGTGGGGTGACGGCGCGTGGACGCACCCCGTGTCCCGGGGGTAGGCAATCCAGGTTGATTGATCGGTGCGTCGCCACTGCGAAGGCCACCCAGGTTCGTGTCTTACGGTGTACTCGCCGAGCTGAAGGCAAGTCCCACGGGACACCTCGCTCCCTCAACGACAACGGCAAGCCCTTGGACGAGCCAAGCGAAGTCGGCTTGGCTCTTCCTTTTTTGAAGTGGGAGTGACCCACTGACTCCTGCAAAACGCTACATTTTCCAAAATTTCTCAACACTTTCTCTTCGTTTGCGCCTTTGGCAGGGGCGTAATTAGAGTCGACTAAGGGGGGGAGGGGGGAGTCAACGCATCAATACAAAGAACAAATCCGCGTAAAAGTCGAAATTTTGGTCCCCTTCGGGGACGAAGAGGGGAGGGGCGGGGCGGTCGCCTCACCCCCTCTATACGCGCCTGGCCTTAGGTAAAAGCCACAGCGATGCTGCTCGCAGGACACCAAAACAGGCGTCTTTAACCAAGATAATATACTCGTCATAAGTAGATTGACTTGGACGTTTCAAGAAAATTCCCTTAAAGCAAGTCACCATCTTCTTGGTTCTAGAAACGCCCTTCTTGGGTGGACGTTTGGACCGACGAGAACGACTCTCGGCACCAGTCTGCAGTCCGCCGTCCGCTGCAGACGGACCGCGTGAAGGGTGCAGACGCCCAACGCCAACGCCCCGCGGCAGAAGAATGCCCGCTGCAGCAAACAGATGCAAAGCGCATCCGGTTTTGTTGAAACAGCCGCAACAATGAAAGGTCCGTCCGATCGCCCTCGTGTTTATCCGGACGGCATTGACCGGCGTTTCCTATTTGGACTTGCAGGAACACACACACACACACACACACACAGAGGGACACACACACACACACACACACACACACACACACACACACACACACACACACGGGGTTTCCATGGCGACGGTGGCGCCGCTTTTCCGTAAACAGTCAAACACGCAGGAGGTGATTGTTTTCGGAAATGGGCGGCGGACACACTCGAGGCGTCTTTATTTGGGGCGGACTTCCCCGGCCGCCCTCCCATGCCCTCTGCAGCATCGTCCTGCGCGCAGCCCCGGCCGGAAAAGGAGGAAGAGAAAAATTAGGAACACACTGCAAATCCAAGTGTGAGACAGGCATGCACTACAGGGTGAGTTTTCTCACTGTGTCAATAATTTGCAGGCAGTTTAGGCATCTCTAGGGGACCATTTTTCACCAATGAACTAGTGGGCGCAAACGTCTACACTGAGATTCCAAACGCTATGAGTATAGCACGTATGGTGCAATGCAGCTGAGATATCGCACCATACGTGCAATGCCACAGCCACATTGCACCATACGTGCAATGCGCCCCGAAAATGCCCTATGCTAATGCATCGGAATTGGTAGGTATTGCACTTCATGTGCAATGCTTTCGCATTGCTCCAATTGACGCTATACTCATAGCGTTTCGATTCTCAGTGTAGATACGGAGATAATTGGTGTTTTGAATTTGGATTTTGCGCCTACAAGGTAGGCACCCGGTGCCACTGAGGGTGGCAGGACCTGTCGAGGGGGTGTCGCGGGACTAGCAGTACTCGCGGGAGTGCCACTTAGCTCGCGGAAGTATCCGTGGAATCCCGCCACCCTCGCAAAGACAGGCGTGAGATCCACTGTAACGGGGGCCACCATGGCAGCCCCTTGAGACCCGCGGCAACCCCTCCCAAAAGACATTTGCAAGGTCCGCCGCACCCCTTCGAGACTCGAAGCACCCCTCCTAGACCCGCGACACCCCCACGTGAGGTCCTGCGCCCATCAGTGGCAGCGGGTGCCTACCTCGCAGGCGCGAAGGCCAATTACAAAACACCAATTATCTCCGTACCTAGACGTTTGCGCCCACTAGTTCATTGGTAGAAAATGATCCCCTTGGGGTGCCCAAACTACCTACAAATTATTGACACATTGAGAAAACTCACCCAGTAGAACGTGGGACAAAATGTCCCACGCTTGTAAGCATGGGACACAGTTTGTCCCACGCTTGCACACGGATTTGTCCCACACTTACAAGCGTGTGGCACGGTTTCAAGCGTGCGACAGTTTGTCCATGAGACAAGGGGTAATGGACTCGCAACGGAGCTGGCCGGAATAATCTCTGCCTTGCTAATTGTAGTTCACTATTTCTCCGACTAAATATGCGATTTTTGAGATCGCTCGGGCATTTCCGGAAAGAAGACACCTTGAAGCATGCCCAAAGTTCAAAAAAGTTTCAATTTTCCCACTAGGGCTCGAACAGGAACAGCTTCGCCGTTGCGCTACTCAAATGCGCTAGGCGACGGCCATGGTGCCAGGGGCGATGTAGGGGCGACGCATCTTCAACTTGCGGATACGAGCTTCCGGATGCCGCATCAGTGACGGGACAAGTGGTGCACCTTGATATATGTCGAAGACAAACTATGTCCGGTCACTTTTTCGGCATCCGGAAGCTTCTATCGCAAGTTGAAGATGCGTCCCCCCTGCGTCGCCCCTGGCACCATGGCCGGCGCCTTGCGCATTCGAGTAGCGCAACGGCGAAGCTGTTCCTGTTCGAGCCCTGGTGGGACAATTGAAACTTTTTTGAAATTTGGGCATGCTTTAAGGTGTCTTCTTTCCGAAAATGCCCGAGCGATCTCAAAAATCGCATATTTAGTGGGAGAAATAGTGAACTACAATTGACAAGGCAGAGATTCCGGCCAGCTCCGTGTGCGAGTCCATTACCCCTTGTCTCATGGTTTGTCCCACGTTATATAGATCGGCACACGAGTTTCTTGTTGCTGCAAGCTGCTATTTTGAAGGTGTTCATGAGAAAGTCCCTTCTTTGGACCACCACCGATATGGGAGTCCGGCGTGAAACGTAAGTGTCAGCGCACTGTCCCTAACATTCTAGCACGCTTAACGGCTATGCCCCCCCCCCCCCCGAGTTTAGACCCCGCCCAACCCCCTTCCTCCTCCACACACACACACACACGCACACACACACATACGCACGAGCGTTTACTGATTGCTGCGCTTATCAGCTCGTCTAATGAGGCAACCTCGGCCTGTGGCATCCCTGCATACTGCCACAAACAAAACAGTATCGATACGATCGGGAAACATTTCAGGGGCAGGAGCGCTATGGCTGCGCTGGCGCTGCGAGGGGGGGGGGCTTTGGTTTGCTTTTGCCTCCGCCGTGGGACGCGCACGGTTCCGAGTCGATCCGGCTGCCGATAATATACGGCCAGAAGACCGATTCCGAAAGTCGTTTTCGTCGCTCTGTCTCTCTCGCACTCATGGGCCGCTCCGTATAGGTGCGAGAGAGACAGAGCAACGAAAGCGACTCGGAAGCGGTCCGCTGCGGGGGCACGAGCGCGCGGGTTCGAACACTGACGTGCGCGATTTAATTTTAGTCTTCCTTGAACCCCTCTCACCTCTCACGGAAGTTCGCTCAAGACGGCTCACCTGGGCCGCGCCATGCCACGCCATGCTGCGCCCGCCCTCTTCGGGGAAGCCCCATTTCTTCATTGTTTTTCATCCTTTGAGGGGGGCCGCGCGCGTCCGGACTACACTGAAGGTTCTTGTTCAAATTTTGAACGAGCATGTTTCAGGTATTTGAACAGATGCACTTTTCATACAAATTTGTAGGTGCTTTTGGGTGAAGATGGGGGAGAAAAGTGCCGTTTTTCGTATGAAAATCATCGGAGAGGTTCATCTCTGCATCAAAAACTGAAACGTCTGGTAGAAAATTGCAGATAGGCTTCTAGTGTTAGGTAGGTACGCCCTCGCGGGGAAAATCGCACTTATCAACTCAGTCGCAAATAAATTTTTACTCAAATTTTGGTTAAATTTCGAAGATTTTGTTTTGAACGTCAGTAGTCCATTTTGTCAAAGGCAAAGTAAAACGAATCGTGAATCTCTTTTCTTGTTTTGAAATAAGCATAAAATTTCGTTTTGTTTCTTCTCTGCCCGTGCGGCCACGAGGCACGCGTGCGGGCTGTCCCTGGTTTCTGCCGCCTCGGGAGACTCCCCACGCTGCAGGGCTGCCGGCCGTTCCAGCAGACTCATTCAGAGAGTCGTTTCCGTCGCTCCGTCTCTCGCGCACCTCTACGGGGCGCCCACGAGTGCGAGAGAGACAGCGCGAAGAAAGAGACTCTCGGAGTCTACAGAGATCAGTCCTGCGGCCACCACACTTGAAGGCGGCACCATGCGAGGGGTGAATCACTCGGCGTTCTGGTGTACACATGAGTACATGAGTACGGGTGAGTACACCTTGCTTTACTCATAAATTTCACAATTTTGAACGCTTTAAGGCTTTATTTAGCGTTTTTAACGGCATTCGACGTCAAATCAGTCGAAAAACTAGAGAATTTCACCTTTTTGAAACTTGTGAGTACACTGAGTACGGGCAAATTTGTACACATGAGTACACTAGTGATTCACCCCTCGGCACCATGCCGCA